GAGAGAGAGAGAGAGAGAGAGCACGCCGTACTGTTTGGCTGGTTCAAATCGACAGTCTTGCCGTCTTCCCCTTCCCTTCCTTTCACCTGCCTTTCCCCGCCTTTCGCCGTCTTCCCCGCTTTCCTCCTTCCCCCTTTCCCCCCCTCCCCCTCCCCCCCCCCCCGCCAGCCCATCCCACCCACTCCGTCCCGCCCGTCGGCTATTCGTTGCTTTCTTCAAATGATTTATTTCTCATTTTGAGCTCATGAAGAGAATGCTTTTTCGTTGTTAGTCTTATGGTTTTACACCCACTTGGAAAATATGCACATTTATTTTTTTTCGACGATATGCTTTGATTTTCGTCAGAGGTACCTTGAGCGCAGTGGTTGGTGGTCCCCACCACCTCAGAGGGGTATCAGTTGTCGGGCAGTCGTTGATGCTTAACCACGACCGGTTGTGGTTAAGGTGGATTATCACTTACAGTGTAATCAGTCGGTTAGGGAATTCTGCAGATTATTTTTGAGGGTTCAGCCTCCTGATGAGTAGGTACTACAGTCTTCCCCCGAATACAACGCACGGTCATTATAGCTGAACTTGGGTTATTTTCAGTCTAAATTCAGCTATGATGACCGTGCGATGTATTCGGGGGAAGACTGTAGGTGAGACTCCGACGAAACAGTTTGTCACAGCCGCCTTCTGTTTGTTGTCCTCTTCTCCCCCTCCCTCTCTGCCTACGGTTTATTGGGCAGCTCTGTTTGACGATGTATATGGTCATAAGATATTATATAATATATGTGCGACGGTGTTTACATATTATCTGTTTGGGCTTTCCTGCATGTATCTGACCGCGAAAACGTCCAGATTCAGTCCGGTAAGGTCTCAAGCATGTCTATGCCCGTGCAAACTTGCGCCATGCGCCGTTACGTTCCGTTATAATTTACATGCTAAGTTCCAAATTACGCTTGGAAAAAAAATCGATACGCTAAGTCCGGTAACAGAACGATGGGGAAAAAGATCGACGGTAATAGTTTATGGTTTTACACCAACCTTTATTAATTAATATTCGAGTTATAATGAGTTAACAAGAGTGTAAATTCATGCAGAAGGGGATGGGAGAGCGGGGCAAGGGAAGGAGGGAGAGAAGGCGGGGCGTGCGAAGGTGTGTTGCACGCCAAATTCTTGTGGATAGTGAGGCTCACCTGGACGCATTCCCGCGGCGGCTGTCAGGTTTGCAAATGAGTACACGTGCTGGAATCCCGTGCCTGGTGCACACCCATGTACTCATGTGCGTGTTTGTATGGAGATGTGTGTGTAGATGTGTGTGTGTGTGTGTGTGTGTGTGTGTGTGTGTGTGTGTGTGTGTGTGTGTGTGTGTGTTGTGTGTGTGTGTGTG